CGTGGCCACAGTTACTGTGAACGTCCTTGTTTGGTTTTTCAATTATTATGCAATTTTATTCATTTTTTTTTTTTTTTTTTATACCGGTATATAGGTCATATTATGCAAGACGACGAAATACTCAAGACCGAAGAATTCAAATTAAGTTTAGTCAGGATTATGACTTTTATATAAAAAAAGTTCTTGTTTAAAAAAATTGTAGTTGTATTTGTTAATATCGATTGATTTTTTTTAATAAAAATAGTAAATTCATGTATTTTAATATTAATAAATTTATTAAATATTCGAAATCGTTCAATAAAAGATGTAAAAAATGTAAAAAAAAAATTTATAAACGTTTGAAAATAATAAAAAGTTAATCATATTATATAGTCAATCGGGTTTGTATTTATTGTTTTTAGATTATTGAATCAAATTTCGTACCAGTTTGAAAATGATTAATATAAAGCGAGAAACATCTATGAACATTAAAAGGTGAAACAAATCACTTTCTACTAAAGAATAGATTTAATTATAAAAAAAATCCTATTCGTTCAATTGTGTTCGGTATTGTTAAAACTGGACAAACTGGTCTAATTAACAAAAACTTTATTTTTAAAACACGCTTCAGTTATATATTCATTTGACAATGTACTGGACAAGTGACATAGCGAGGTTCGATTGCCAGACTATTATGTTCTAAGGTCCCATCTTGCACTTCATAAGAAACATAACGCTTATAGACGTATCAAATATTATATATAATTCAAGTGCACATGCCAAATGTTACGACATATGTCAAGCATGCAAATTGTTACGGCATATGTAAGTTAAAGTATCGTTCATATCTCAAGTTACGGCTATCGGGACAAAAAATGTTATCAAATAATATCTCTAGATATTATAATTAACGAATAAAACTTTAGATCGGGTTCTTTGAAACTTTATTAAAAATATTGAAAATTTCTTTATACAAAAAAACTCCGAATTAATCAGCTTTTAGAACTTCAGTTGCTATTAGATTATTAGCAGTCTTAGACGCTTTTTTGTTTTTTTTTAGCAGTTTTTTGTCGTCCCTAGATTCACCAGCAAATTTTTTACTAAATTCTTCTGCCATTTTTTCATCAATCCTCTTGAAAA